AGCGTGGAAGCCAGGGAGAGAGATGGTTCTGAGGGTCTGGGGACACAAGAGAGTGGTGGGAGCATCCCATCCCCATCGAGCTGGGGATTGGAGGTGCTGTACAGACAAAGGCTGCATGAAAAGCTTGTGGCCTGTGGATCAGGCCTGGCAAGAGGGACGGGTGCTCCTCGGGCTTTCTGGGAATGCTCAGGATCCAGAGGGTGCAAACACCAAAAGCAGCCAAGAGACACCCCGGGGCTGGGATCCCTTTTCCAGGCAAGGTTCAAAAGGAAAACACAAGGAAGGGGTGGCTTTTTTTTTCCTCCGTGCTTGCTTATCCCTCTTTGCTAGGCAAAGGAATTGCCTGGCACAGAAGGGAAACGATGTTTTCTTTCCCCTGGTGCTATTGCCTGTTCAGATGGTACCCACTGGGGTGGATGTATCTGGCCTCCTCTGTACCTGGGATGTGCTGGCATTCCCACATCCCTCTACCTTGGGAGAATCACAGTCTTTATAAGCTCCCCAGTGCTTGCTGTTGCTTCTAAAAAGCTGGTGGCACTGTCTGGCTTCAAGTGGCTTTTACATAATACAGACTGTCAGGCCAGATGATCATCACGGTCCCCTCTGGCCCTCAAATCTCTGAATCTAAAAATGAGAGGGCACCAGCACCTACCTCCTTGCTTCTGGCTGATTGAATCCGGGGCATCACGTGTTCTCTTTATCCTCTCCTTTTCTCTCTCCCCTCCCTGCATCATCTTTAACTGAAGGTGCATTCTCCTTCCCCTGGTGCCCGGGGCTGGCAAATAACGTCGGAAGGAGCAGACCTCTCCAGCCTCGCGCTGGGATATTCTCCTCCCCAATCGCAGTGCTTCACTGGTGGGATCAGGGGTGCTCGGGCTTGGAGATGGCTGGATGGAAAACAGTGCTGAGCTCTCCCGGTTGCTTTAAAAAAAGCAACTGAAGTTCTCCTGGCTCCAGAGTGAGCTCTTTTGGGAGCCGCCGGAAGGGACCCGACCAGGCACGCTCCCCCACGCGCACACTCGGGTGCTGCACGCGTGTTCTCACGCGCAGGCACGTACGTGTGCGAGCACACACACCTGGGGGAAGAGCTTCAACGGCTCCGGCTGTTAACGGCCCTCCCAGTGCTACAACTCCCCGGGATTAATGTGATGAATTTTAAAGTCTAGAGGCGTCGACTAGGGAATCCGTCCTTTGAATCTCAAGTGTTCCAGAGTCTGAGCTATCGTGGTGCTGTGTCTTCTGATACTCGCCTCTCCTCCCTCATAAGTAGCAGTCTCCTTTTGAGTTGTCAGAAAAGGTAATCCAAACGTCATTTCATACGGAGATATCCCTAAAGCCCATCTGGGTTGTGTTCGAACTTGTAAAAATGCTAAAGGCAAACACTTTACCCAGGACATTTGGGTCTCAATCATTAGTTTAGTTAACGTTTGTTTCAAGAACATGTGTTAGTCCTGTAGAAGGCTGTTTTGCAAGGAGCCAAGTGCTGTTCCTGTGGGCAGCCTGAGGTCTAATCCACTTTTCTGACCCCCCAGGTGGTTCTTGCCAGTGATGCCACTGAGAGATGAGCCTGAGCTAAGGGCCAAGTTGTCAGCTTTTTTAGCTGTCCTCTTGCCACTGCAGTATTGCTTCCAGAGCTCTGCGGGTGTGAACTTCAGCTCTCCGTTCGTGTAATCCTTGAACTTTAATAGTGCATTTAACAGCTCCACTGGGAATGTCGTAGCAGTGTTCCTCGCTGCCAGGCAGGCTTTCTGTTTGTTATTATTGTCTTCTTAAAGTGTGTGCCTTTCATTGATTAGAAAGCCCTGGAACTTTTGATGGATGGGGCCATGAGAAGGCGAGGGTTTCCTCCTGTCTGGTGTCTGGGAGGTTAACTAGGAAAGATGTTCAGGCAGAACTGGGATATTCTAGGTGTCATTTTCCTTCTGGGAATAGAAACTTCTTGGGAAGGTGATTTTTTTAGCCAAGGCACATAAATGTATCGAGCCATGCGGCTAAAAATGATCCATTCAGTTAGCTTAAAGAATCCTACTTTGTATGGGGTTTAGGTCTCCTTATTTTTTGTTTTTTCCTCACCTCTGCAATATTAGTTTGAAGAGTATTTTATGTAATAAAATGGAAAACACATGGATATAGTGGGCACCTTGGCATCCTGGAGCGAGCACATCAGAGGGGAGAAGTGGCAGTTGTATGTGCTGTGGGTCAGATTTGGATGTGGCAGAGGATAAGTTTCATAGGTATATTTGTGGGAAATCTTTTGAAACGCTTGAACTGAGATTTGTCAGAGGGGCAGCAACACCTCTGCCTTGGCATAGAATCACAGAGTGGTTTGGGTTGGAAGGGACCTTAAAGCTTGTCCAGTTCCAACCTCTGCCACAGGCAGGGGCACCTTCCACGAGAGCAGCTTGCTCCAAGCCCCTGTGTCCAACCTGGCTGTGAACACTGCCAGGGATGGGGCAGCCATGGCTTCTCTGGGCACCCTGTGCCAGCGCCTCAGCACCCTCACAAGGAAGAGCTTCTGCCTAAGAGCTCATCTCGGTCTCCCTTCTGGCAGGTTAAAGCCATTCCCCTTGTCCTGTCCCTACAGGCCCTTGTCCCAAGCCCCTCTCCAGGTTTCCTGTAGCCTCTTTAGGCATTGGAGCTGCTCTAAGGTCTCCCCTTCAGGAGCCTTCTTTTCTCCAGACTGAACCAGCCTGGCTCCAGAGCAGAGCTGCTCCAGGCCTCGCAGCATTTCCATAGTCTCCTCCGGCCTCTCTCCAGCATCTCCAAGTCCCTCTTGTGCTGTTGCCCCAGAGCTGGATCAGGACTACGGGGGGTGGGGGGTGTGTGTGGGGGTGTGGGGTGTCTCCCCAGAGCACAGCAGAGGGGGAGAATCCCCTCTCTTGACTTGTTGCTCACACTCTGGGGGTGCAGCCCAGCACACGGGGGGGTTCTGGGCTCAAGCGCCCACTGGAGCTTCTTGTAGACCAAGAGCCCCATGTGCTTCTTCTCAGGGCTACTTTCAATCCATTCTCCCCCAGTCTGTGTTTGTGCCTGGAATTGCCCCAGCCCACGTGCACATCCTTGCCCTTGGCCTTGCTGAGCTTCATACGGCTCTCACAGAATGCTGAGGTCCTTGCCTGTGTCTGTGCCCTGTGTCAGACATCCTCTGCTCTTGACCCATCCAAAATGGGCTTCTGCTTTCACTATGTGCTGCTGCTGCTGCCTGTTGCTCTGCCTGTATGGCAGTGAAAGGGAAGAGGTGGGATTTTTGCCTTCACGTGTAGAGGAGGTGATCATAAGTCCTTAGACTTGAGGCTCAGTTGCTTTTACTCAGGTCTGCTTCTATGGCAGTAGGAAAGCCCCTTCCTGCAGCCTGTAGCAGGAGCTGTGCTGAGCCTGGAGGTACCATTGGAGTGTATCCCCAGGTTTTCTCATCTTTTGTCAGTGCAGACCAGAGGATGATGAGTTTCTTGGTTTTGTGGGATTTCCAGGGCCTGAGAAGCTGGCTTTTATCACTGCTTGCTTGATTTGTTGTGGAAAGACTGTCATTTGTCTTGGATTTGCTGCAGGACTTTCTGCTAAATCCCCAGGACTTGAGAAGTTTGCTCTGTGGAAAATTAACTCTGCTCTCACCACTCAAACCCTAAATAATAGCTATGAAAGGTTTATTGAGCAAGTAAGTAAATCTCCCAGGGTGTGACTTCTATTTCCCACAAGAAATACCTGAAGCCAGTCACTTGCCAAACTGAACAAGTGAGGTGGTGCAGCTCAGAGAAAAACAACTGGTTATTTTCCTTACAGGCTTTCCATCGGGCCTGGGGAGGGGAATTGTCATCCCTGTGAGGAAAAATGAGTATTGAAAAGTGTTTCTGCCCTGCCAGAAAGGCAGTTTTCCTTGTTGTTCTTCCGTTCAGATGCTTTCCTCAGACACTGCTGTAAGAGGCACTAGAGGCAAAGCCTTGATATTCAGACAGACCTTTCCTGTATTGGAAGGCTGTCTTGGGCAGGATGTTTCTTTTGTACTTAAGTCAATCCCTGCCTTTTTAATACTATGATGGCAGGGGGTTGGAACCAGATGTAACGCTCTTTAAGGTCCCTTCCAACAGAAACCATTGTATGATATGATTCTGTGTGCTCCGTAACGCAGCTTTGGTTCTTCGGGGAGAACTAACCTGGCATGAGATTGTAGATCAGACAGGCCAGGATGTGTCCACTTCTAAATCCTGCATAGCGTTTTGCTCAGAGCAGCTCACAAATCTGTGCTCAGATGGTGCCTGTCTTTTCCTGTTGAATGGCTGGGCCTAGTTCTGGGTTGAATGGTAGCCTGTGGGAGGAGAAGCTCTTTGTTTGATACTTAATAGTAAAAAGATGAAGATTTTATCTCCTTGCTTCCTTCCTTATGTGTGGGCCCAGTGAAAACCTCATGAGGTTGGGCAAGGGCAAGGTCCTGCATCTGGGACAGCTCAATCCCAAGCACAACCACAGGCTGGGCAGAATGGATGGAGCAGCCGTGAAGAGAAGCACTTGGGGCTTTTGGGTGACAAGAAGCTCCCCATGATCCAGCTTCAGTGTGCTCTTGAGCCCAGATCCCCCCTGTGTCCTGGGCTGCACCCCTAGACCCTTGTCACTCCAGGCAATGTTTTGCTCCCTCTGGTTTGTGCTCTGTGGAGAGATGAGGTTATTGTGCAGCCATGAAACACCTGGGCTTCAACCCTGGGGGTCCCACTCAGGGGATCCAATCCCACATGAGATTCGAACAGCTTGTTTCTTAAAATGCCCTAGAGATTGTTATTAAATCACAGAATCGCACACTGGTTTGGGTCGAAAGGGACTTTAAAGCTCATCTAGTTCCACCCCACCTACCTTCCACTAGCCCAGCTTGCTTGAAGCTGGTTGCTGTGTTAGTAGAACAAGTCCACCTGGTTTCTGGTGTGGTGATTTATTTATTTATTTATTTATTAGTATATTTTCTGTCTTAAATCTAAAACTGAAAGGTGAGAGTCCAATGGGAAGAGGGGTAAAAAGCAGAATGACAGGAATGCAAGAATTAATGCGTGGACACTCGTGTCAGTTTTAAGCTCAGCAGGTCTGTGGCTGAACTGTGCCCCAGCATTTAAACTGTGATGCTTGGATCTAAATGGTTGTAATTCCTTGTCTTGAAACAGAGAGAACGTGAGCTCGAGGAAGGAGGTGTTGGAATGAGCTTGACTCAAGAGAACGCTGGGAGGAAGGAGGAGGGTGGGAAGCGAGAGATGATAAGCCCAGCTCTGAGAGAAGCGCTCACAAAACAAGGTGAGGTTCTGCAAAGAGCAGATGGTGGCCCAGGCTTTGAAGTCTTAGTGGTGGACTTTTAGCAAGCCAAGTGACAGGCGGTGTTCTTTGTTAGAGGTACTGCTGTGGACCCTCAGTCATGGCAGGCTCTGAGCAGGGGCAGGACAGGGCTTAGGCAGGGGCTGTTGGTACCTTATCCTTGCAGGGAAGGAGCCTGAAGCTGGGTAATACATCTGAGTGTGATGCACTCTGAGTGTGGTGAGTGTTTCAGAGTTCAAAGGGTTTAATGTAGCTGCTAAGCAGCTTGGGGGAGAAGATGATGGTCCCCATGCCTTCAGCTCCAAAAGCGTGTGTTCCTCAAAAAATACTTAAAGATCGGCTGTGCCCCTGCTTTTACTTCTGTTTCAAACTCTGATTTTGTTACTGAAACTTTGTTTCCAGAGAAGAAGGTAGTTCAAATGAGCTTTACCAATCCAGTGCTGATCAGATGAGTGGCCTTTGAACAAGCTGTAGAGAACTTAATGGCCTTTTCAAAACAAAGGAGGACAAGCTTGAGAAGAGCTGGACTGAGGGCCCTGCAGTTCAGAAGCCTCAGTTCTGAGTGGCAGATCCAGCAGAAGGGTGATGGCAGCTTCTGTTCAGCTGGAGACTGAAGGCAGTTTAGTTTAATGTCTTTTCTTTCTTAGGATGAGAATGCGTTCAGTTTTTCTTGCTTGCTAAATCAGTAGAATGTCCCCTGATGCTGCTGAGAGCACAGTTCTGTTATTGCAGTGGAGGCACCTTGCTTCAGAGCTGGGCTCTGATTTTCCATGTCCTGTGTGAGTCCGGCAGCTGTGGGATCCCAGCACCTTTGCTCCCCAAGATTGGAGCCTGAGCTTTTGTAAGTGACTGGTGATGTGTTTGCCCATGGTCATTGGAGTGGGCTGCTGGAGACAGGGCTGTCTAGAACTGGGCAGTGGGGAGGGAAGTTCTCTTGTCTTGCAGCAAGTCCCCCGCTTCAGAAGCTGGAGCGGCACCAAGTCCCCCAGGCAGCTCAGGTGTTGCTTTGACACACAGGGACCTGAGGTGGGCTGGGGAGACTGCCCTGGCTGTTCTGTGGTGCAGGGCCTGTGCTGGCTCTTTGCGCCGTGGCAGTCACAGGGGTGTTTCACACTGGTTCACTTTCTGATCCCGTCTGTGTTGGTTTGGTTTTGGGCAGTGAATGAAACTGTGCTTTTCTTATGGTCTGCAGAAGTGGCCACTTGAAGAATGAAATGCTGTAATGTTTTTGACTGCAGTCTTGTCTCATGTCTTCTGTCCCGCTTTGAGTTAACGGAAGCAAGTCCTTCCGCAAATCACAAGGCTTTTGTGCTTTTTAAAAGCATTTTCTTGAAGTCTGAGCAGAGCTAGGAATGAAGCTGGGTGTTTCTCCATCATGCTTGGGCAATCTGAAAAATTCCAGTGCCCAGATTCCACGTCTTTCTATATTTGTATAAAATAGTGATATAGTTTGAAGGGGTTCCTTTCAACAACAGTATTTCTTGTTTTCTTTTCCTTACTGATTTTCTAGCTTTAGCAGAACACTGCCTTTTGGGTGGTGGTTCTAGTGTAGGAGTTGTGCTACCACTTGCAAAATGCACCTTAAATCAGTGGTGATGAGTTACTGCTGTGTGTCAGTGACTTCAGCTCAGGCCCTTTTAAACTGCATTCTTGCAGAAAACTGGGATCTTTTTTGCCTGTAAAGAGTTTCCTAGTGTGAAGTTCCCCTTTCTGCACCGAGTTTCAGCTTCCACAAATAATCAGTGCTTCAAACAAGGCAGCTTTTATTTAAGGCGATGGCTTGATAGAACCACACTGATTTGCCAGCTCTGTGTTACTTGGAGGAAAAGCCTTCTGAAAGTCATTTGAGTTTGTGAAGACAGTGTGACACCAGACTGGCTTTCACCAGGCTAATGGTGACTGCACTCTTAGAGGAGGATGGGTAAGTCTCTTTTCTTGTACTCTTTGAGGATTTTTTTTTAACCACTCCTCTACTTCCTTCTTTTATAATTAAATCTTTTGCTCTGTGCTTTCAAAGGCTTGCCTGTAAAGCAGCTTTTGGTGGTGTAGAGATCTGAACTGGAAAGTGTCTCTGGGTTTCTTTCTGGACATTTTGCCACAATCAAATAGTCAGCAGTCCTCAAAAGCAGTTCCCAAGTTGTACTTGTAGAAATTTGACTTATCTGTTCCGCTTGAAAAACTAAAATAGCATAATAGCTCGCATATGCACAAAATTCATACGTATTCAGGAGCTTAGAAGGACATGCTATGGGTATGGTACTTGTAAGCGATCAAAACCAGAATACCTTGGATAGCCTGGAACACGACACGGGTATGTAGCTGGCAGTATCCTACCTCTGTGGCTGAGAGTACTGCAGGGTCCCTCAATGAATTCTTTGAATTTCAGTGAAAGGACTTTTAAAGGACTGGTATTTAGGGACTGTTATTTCCAATACAGAGTTGAAATGCTGCGATGCAGTTTCAATGGTCACAGAAATGTTTTGCCCCATACCAGGGAGCAGTCAGCATCTGTGGTGCTGGCAGTCTCTTCAGTTCAAAATCTGCCCATGGCTTATTAAAGTCCAGTTGGATTGTCAGGGCCAGCAATCACCAAATGTTTATCAGCTTAGTGTTACTGCATGATAACACTCCCTTCACCCAAAATCTTAATTCATGTCTTCTTGTAGTAAATAAAATGACAACTTTGGTGAAGCTTGGCAGACTTCTAAGTCATTCAGAGTTTATCATCTAGAGCAGGATCAACTAATATGCAGACTTAGATAAGACTTTAGTCAGGACTTGAGCTGATTACTGTCAGCCTGCTTATAATTTAAGTATTCCTTTGAATATTGGGCTTTAGAAACAATAAGTGGATTGTGTTTGTTCAGCCTTAATATCTGAAGGTGCATCAGGACGGTGAGCAGAGTCCCATGGAGACAACAGTCTGTATTGTTTGGAGGGTGTTGTATCCAAATACTCAGAGTGATTGCTTATGAGTAATGCCTTAAGAGCAGAGAAGTGAACGTGTTCATGGGGAGTCCTGGCAGGTTCAGAGTTCTGGACCATTGGTAAGGTTTGATTTTTTTTTTTCCCCATCATTTCCCTTGGCAGAGCCCCGGTGAAGTTGTGGCAAAGGTGGTGGAAGAGATGAGCTGGCCTGAGCTTTCGCAAGGGTTGTTCAGCAGAAGCTGAACAGAACTGAGAAGGCCCTCAGACTGATTCTTGGACACGCGTCCTCACATGTTTGGTTTGGAACTTAGCACTGCTTGGTCTCGCTTCAACCTTTTACTTTCTTTGAGCCCAGACTGCCCTGGCTGCCTGTGTTGCAAGCCAGCCGTAAAGCAACTGCTTGAAGAAAGAGGCTCTGCAGAGCTGGAGAGACTCTGCTCCCTTAGAGCAGATGTGTAACAACTGTTCTGATTGATTTAATTTATCTAACTTCCAAGTCTGAAGACGCATGGGGTGGCCAGTGCTGACTGTGGTGGCTTAGCAGGGTCACCACCCTTTCTGTCAGTTACCTCCATGGTGAAGGCCCAAGTTCAACGGCTTTGCACAGTGGTTTTGAAGTTCTGCAAGTATGTGCTGTTTCTTCTTGTAACCATAGCTGAGACTCCTGGCAGCAGCAAGCAAAATGAGTAAACCCCTTCTCGTCACTAAAGCTGGCTGAAGTTTGTAAGACTCTGTTTTGATATCGAATAGGTCCAATTTTCTTGGCCTTCAGAGGAAGCTGTGGGCTCTCCACATGGTGGAAGTTGATTTAAGTAACTAAAGAGCTTGACACCTTGCTCAGTTTAGCTGCTTCATCTCTTCCGTCATACAACTGGGTAGCAGATCTGGGTGAGCATGTCCTGTTTCCAATTTAATTTTAACCTAAACCCCATTTTAAAGCAGTCGTCTTACTTCTACTGACAAGAGATCTGTGAGAGAATGATCTTACATGAATGCTGTTGCTGATTCTGAAAAGTGAACAAATAAGGCTGGGGCTGTGCTGGTTGCCATCAGCAAGGAGCCTGCCTTGGGCAGCTGTAGTAGAGGGAGCAGGAATGCAGCATCCTTTTCACATTTGGCTTTTGAGACTATAAATTCCCTATTAGAAGTGCTGATGTCTTTCTCCAGGAGAGGACTGAATGATGGGCCATATGGAATACCAAGGCTGGTTTTGGCTTGCAGTAGTTCTTTCTTCCATGCTGTATGGGGCTTTATTCATTTAGGGAGGAAAAGGCTGGAATATTGTCTATTCCCACGGAGCTGGATGGGGAGAAGGATCTCAGGACATAGGAGCAGCCTGACACTGATGTCCCCAAAGCCCTGCTTAATGGGGCAGGGGAGCCCCACTGCTTGCTCCTGCAGCCACTCCCCCTGTGCTGTCCATACAGTCTCCTGGAGAGTTGCTTCGGGGGACTGGTCAGGCTAAAATTGCCTCTGTCCTAACCCCTGCAAGGATAGAACCAGTGTGAGGAGACAGGAGTGTCCTCAGCCATGCAGACATCATCTTCACGCAGTTTAATTTTGAGCTGGTGCAGCTCTCACTGTAGTTCATGGCTTAGTGTCCTCGGAGCTGTGGGGGACTTTGGGGAGCAGTCACGCTCCCCTGGGACCTCACCATGCAAGAGACACATGGTGACATATGAGCAGGCTCACTGTGCTACTTGCTGTAGGAGATGATGGGCAGTTCTGGTGAGCAGAAGGCTTTTTTCCCCTGTTAATTTCATGCTGCTTGGCAGGAAGGAGACTTGATACCTAGAAGTCGATTTTTCTCTTGAAAGCGTTAATATAAATGTCAGCCTAAAGCTGTCAGTTGAGATGTGCTGGTTTGGGGACAGCCAGGCCATCGACGTGTAAGTGCTGCAGTGGGAATGACACAGTCAGGCTGCTCAGATCCCTCTTATTTTTATGCTGGTTTTTGAAGTGACTTTTAATCCTTCAGATGACACAGTCAGGCTGCTCAAACCCCTCTTATTTTTATGCTGGTTTTTGAAGTGACTTTTAATCCTTCAGACATATTGGTCCCTAGGCACGTTTTTCAAAGAGAAAAAGAACCCAACTCAAGCAGTTTGGGTAGTAATAGTGCTTAGTGCTTAACAAATGCTGTGGAATTAATCTTCCTGGGCTAATAATTTGAAATGAAATTGTATTGATCTTGGTTGAGGAGCAGGGAAGTGATGCGAAATCAGCTTTCCTCTGGGCATAACGCAACGGCTCCCTCTCTGCAGCTCCTTCAAGGGCAGTGGAGGTGGAACTGGTGAACCTGTGAAGTCTGGGTTCAAGCTGAGCCCTGCATTGTGGTTCATTGCCTCTGCCCTCCCTGCTGAATCAGATGTCCTCCAGGCTGGTCAGACCTACCAAGAAGCAGTGGGAATTAGGTCTCTGTGGTTCTGGGGAACAGTCTGTTCTGGGATGGTGGCTTAGGGATGGGGGGAGACGCTTCTGGTTCCCTGTCCTGGTCCTTCCCATATCCTAACCCCCTGGGGTCAGCGAGGTGTTCCACGTTCCGCTAAGAGGCTAGACCTGTTAGTCTGCCTTCCTGTCACATGGAGAAGTCTTCTGGCCACCCTCTGTTGATTCAAGCAAGACAGAGCAATATAACTAAATATGCGGTGAGGAGAAAGTGTTCCAAGTTGTCTGAAGCCCTTTGGGCAGCCATGGCCTTTGCTCCCCTGTGCTCCCAGAAGGAAATGGAAAATACTGTGAGTGGGCACTGGGTAGCATCACCTTGGGCCAATGGGAAAGAGCGGTGCTGAGACTGCGATGCTGAATAATTTGGTGTACCAATTGGCATGTTTTGTGTTTGAGTTATTGCAGGTTCCAATCAATAGTTTGATTATTGTTTTGTTGGTTTCCAGGTTACAAGCTGATTGGGAGCCATTCTGGGGTGAAGCTCTGCCGATGGACAAAGGTAAATGCTCTCTTTCCTTCTTTCACTTTCTAAATTGAAATTAAAAAAGTAGACACTTACTCAGGTAGTACAATTTCCAAATGAAATATTGTTTAAAAAAAGCAGTATTACATTAATGAAACCAAATTTCATCTTCCAAGCTGTAGTTTTACATTTCAAGCTATTAAAATCCTGCTGCGAAGAGTGAGCATGTGGCTGTGGCCAAGAGCTGGGGATATAATTTTCTGTTGTTTTTTTCCTGTTATTCTGCTGTCTGCTAAAGTAACTCCTGCCTCCTGAGGTACACAGCAGGAGCAGAACACCACACAGAAGTGGGAAGGTTTCATCACCACTGTGAGGTCCCTGAAACAAAGATGCTGCAGTCTGTCATTCCCCTGGAATGGGCACACGAGGGCATTTGAACCTGTTGTTGTGGGACTGTGACCACAGTCTAGTGGGGATGGGATGGAGCAGCCCTGAGGAAAAGGACTTGGGGATTTGGGTGACGAGAAGCTCCCCATGACCTGGCTTCAGTGTGTGCTTGAGCCCAGAACCCTCCTGTGTGCTGGGCTGCATCCCCAGGGCGTGAGGAGCTAAAGCAGGAATTGAATGTCAAGTGCTCTAGACACTGACATTGGTTACAGGCAGTGGCTTTGACTCAGATTCACACCAATATGTGAGTATCTTCAGGAGGTTTGTTTGGGGTTTGTATGGGGTGAAAGCAGGAGCGGGGCTGGAAGCATTAGTTTTGAGTTTCATAGTGGTAGCTCAGATTAAAAAGATTGTGTTCTGTCATATGCTGGGAAACAGCCTAAAAGCTGCAAATTTTAGGGTGAGTGTTGATTTGCCTGTTTGACGAAATCCAGAATCTCATAGAATCGTAGAGTGGTTTGGGTTGGAAGGGACCTTAAGGCTCATCCAGCTGCAACTCCCCGCTATGGGCAGGGACACCTTCCACTAGAGCAGGTTCCTCCAAGCCCTGTCCAACCTGACCTTGGTCTCCTCGAATCTGTGAATCTCCTGAAGTCTCTGTTGTTTGAGGAATGGGTGGAATAAGCAGCATTTCCCATTTTGTTTAATTTTCCATCTGCACAGCAAGGCTGTGCATCTGTCAGGGGTCACCTGCGTGTTCTTTCCCCACTGCTCAGTGAAGACTTCCCTTTGGATCACCAGGACTCCTCAGGTGGAGGAAGGTAGATTGAAAGGTACCATTGTCACATTTTGGCAGGGGCTTGGAACTGGATGAGCTTTAAGGTCCCTTTCAACCCAAAGCAGTCCGTGATTCCATGATCTGTGTGCTATGGACTTCTTCCCCCAGGGTGCATCTGTCATCATTCTGAGCTGCTCTGCGACGTGCTCTTGCTTGCACTGTGTGTCCCAGGTGACTTTGGACACCCAGGTTTTTAGTGACTGAAAACTGCAGATGTGCTTGGGGAGCAGATTTAAAGCTCTGCACTCAGCTTAATGTTCTTGGAATTTGTTTGTGTCTTTCTCTGCTGTTAGTCGATGCTCCGAGGCCGAGGAGGATGGGTGTGGGATGGTCAGATGCGAGCTGGGTGGCTGGGCTCCACATCTGGGAGGCTGAGGAGGTGCTACCTTCCCTAGAGCTGTGTCCTCTGTCAGACTGGCTGAGAACCAGTGAAGGAGGAATTGGGGATGCAGGAGACACACACCTCTCCGTGTACTGCTCTGCAATTCCCACTTGGTAGAGGTTTGGTTCCCTCTGGAGATCATTGTCTGAGATTCCATGTGGCTCCTGGTGCTCTAGAGAGCATGGGCTGGCCCATCTTGTGCAAAGCCACCAAGGTGCAAAGCAACATGAGTATCTTTGGTTTGAAATTGGACCGTTTTTCTTACTTCAGGTACCTTCATCCCCACCAATTCAGCTGCAGTCTCAGCGAGTGAAAAGTGATGACTTGGTAACTGTTGCCTTCCTAAAGCAGTCTCTCCTAGATGACTTTCCATTCTAGTCAGTAAAGTGACCCCTCTTCTTAGGGGAATGACTTTGTTAGTTCTCTAAAGGCAATGAGCTCTGCCTGGATGGGAGCGGCGAGCAGCTCCAGCGGTGCTCACTCACTGGGCTGCCAAGGGAGGGTTTTGCCAGGCTGGGAGAGCGCAGGATGGGGTTGGTGAGAGACACTCAGCAAAACCAAACTCAGTGACGTGAAAGTGCGCTGAGTGGGAGGACGTGGAGGTTATTCTCTGAGCTCTTTTGTCTTGCCAGCTAACTCATACGATGGGGCTTGTGCTTCCTCTGGTATTCACGCCTTCCCCAGGGACCTGGTTGCCAGAAATACCCATTCCATCCCAAAGAATGAGTGTGCATGCAATCCCAGGCAAATTCCTCCTGAACCCCACTTTTTCTGTTTCATAGTCCTCAAGTTTTAACAATGGAAATACTTCATGAGGGTATTGAAATGGCAGCATTAGTGCAGAAGGACTGCTAGAATTTTGGAGACAATTTTGGAGAAGCTGTGTCCCATGTTAGTGTTAGGTGTAAGCATTAGACACTGGTCATCCTCTGAAGTTTGTATTCTGAAATGTTAATTGGGGCTTTTGATGGGCTTTCATCGTATCCTGGTTTGAACAAACACAGCAAATAGCAAGTTTAATGTGCAACTTTTGCTGCTTTTCTTCAGAGCAATTTAATGGCTGGGAAGGAAAACGTACTGCTTGTGTCTTTTGTCTTCCTTTTTTTTCATGTATCAGCTAGCAGTGGTGCATTTAATTCTGCAGTGGTGACTGGACTGGTAGGGAGAGGATTGCCATGCATTTTGTCCCTCTGTCCCTCCACAGCAGGTACATCATAAACAGCAAATAGAAAGCAATAGCGTTGTCAGAGCAAGGAATTTTGCTCCTGATGTTGCACTGCAGGCCATTTAACACTGTTCCCCTCAAAATGACCCACTCGGTATTACTTGGCAGCAGCAGCAGCCTGTGTCTGGAGTACGGGGCTGAACCAAGGAAGTCAGACAAGTGTCAATTGAACAGTGGAGTAGCAGGGATAAATCTCCATGCATGATACCTTCCAGGTGCCTCTGCCTCATCATCCCCTAACTGTCATTGGTCACTTTTAAGAGGAAATGTGGAAACAGTAGCCCTAATGATAATGAAAGCTGGAATGCTTCTTTAACTAATGGCAACAACCTGTATGAGTGAAACAGCTTTGCAGGGGACTGGGCTGAAAAATATTCTCATTTATTTACCTCGTGTGAAACGGGTTGCAATTGTTTTTCTTCCACATGGACTGCAGCTGTTTGCTCTTCTCGGACCTCTGTTGAGTTGGAAGACTTAAGGCTCAGTTTGAGACACATCCCAAGGCTCGCTTGATGTACACCTTAGGCTTGGCATAAATTGTAAACCCATAGATGGTTTGTCTTGGAAGGAACCTTAAAGCTCGTCCAGTTCCAACGCCCTGCCACAGGCAGAGACACCTTCCGCTAGAGGAGATTGCTCCAAGCCCTTCCAGCCTGGCCTTGAAGACTGCCAGGGATGGGGCAGCCACAGCTTCTCTGGGCAGCCTGTGCCAGTGCCTCACCACCCTCACAGGGAAGAACTGCTTAACATCTCAGCTCAATGCCTTAGGACCTTTCTTTTCTAGTGATATGTATAGCTGTGTTCTCAAATGGAGGTAGAACCTCTTCTTTCTTTGCAGAGGTCTTTCTTGCTGTAGAGCATCGTTTTGGCTTAAAGACCTTTTACCTGTGATTCAAGATAGGTATATCAAGTTTCATATAAACTGTGAGGTCCATTCTTCCTTCTGGGGGAACCAGAGCCTAGGTGTTCAGAGACGACATATGAAAGCTGTGTCAGAAGCAGGGTATTACCGAGAATTTCTTGTTGCCTTTAATATTATTAAACTGTGTCTAAGTCCCTAAGGTGTCAGATGGGTCCTTCCCATGTGTGTTACAAATAGCAGTGTATAACTCTGTCTGTCTTTTCCTTCAGACATCATACAAATCCAGTGGGCACAGAGTGGCAATGGAAGATGGACCAACCTGAAATGATCTTGCAGGAGGCTATTGAGAACCATCAGAATATGATCAAGCAGTTCAAAGGTAACTTTTCCCATTTCTTCCCTGTGAGTGATGCTTTTGGAAGATAAGCAGCATCAGCATCTTCAAAGCAAATCCCTGGAGGCATTTAAAAAGGTGACACTCAGGGGTGTGGTTTAGTGGTGGACTTGGCGGTGTGGAATTGATGGTCGGGATTGATGAGCTTTTGTAACCTAAATAATTCTATAATTCTATGAATTGCTGGGAAGGAGGCATGAGATTCGTCATAGGAGAAAGAGGTGAGAAGAAACTGTTGTGGCACACCTTGTTTTCTGAGATGTTCTGCCTTGGTTTTGACATTAGAACATGAGTCAGCCATTGGATGTCTACTGCTGCCTTAAGGGATTAGTGTGGAGTTGCTTCTTGTGGGTCTTGGTAATTGTCATATCATTTTATTTGGAGTGCACAGAGGCTTCCACAGTGCTTGAGGCTGGCCTGGGTGGTGAGGAATGTGGATTCTTATGGAAAAGTGTGGGCAGGCAGAAGGCAAAAGGAATCACCCTGTAACCTGTTAGGAAATACACTGCCCAAGCTTAATCCACTGAGAGCTTTGTGTTCGCTCTGAAACTTGGGGATTGTGTTTTTCTCATTAATGGATGAGCACTTTTATTTTCAGGAATTATTGAGGAGATCTGTTTGTGACCGAAGCAGCAGTTACACAGCACCAAGTCCTGCACTTTGCTTCCCATAGGAACTCTTTGTGAGTTTGTTATTTCTTGTAGATTGAGATTAGTGATTAGGCACAAATTCTTCCCTGTGAGGGTGCTGAGGCGCTGGCACAGGGTGCCCAGAGAAGCTGTCTCTGCCTGTGGCAGGGGGTTGGAACTGAATGAGCTTTAACCAAATCAGTCTGGGATTCCAAGATTAATTCCACGCAGTGCAGTAAAATTGAGATCTTCTTTGAAGGAATAGAAGTCTTGGGGACCATGTGTCCTGTAGGATATCCTAGAGAGTAGCCTTATGTCCTGTTAAGAACTTCTGTGCATGCTTTTATTGTTGCCATCTTTATTGTTGCCATCTTTATTGTTACTATCTTTATTGTTGTCAAAGCGTGCACTGTTTTTGAAGGTGGTGGTTAACATCACATCATTCTTTTAGGCTAATGGCTGGGGAGACATCTTGCTGATAGGGAGCTAAGGTGGAAGAGTGGGAAGCAGTTTATTTGTTGGATGCATTTTGTAGGTAGTGGCTGGTAAATCTCTGTTCCCTTGTGAAGGGCACACACAGAATGGAAATGTAATTCAAAGTTATGAGATGGGCAGTGTCTGATAATACAGCTCTGGTTCCACTTGGGAAAAGTGAAAACCCAAACAAAAATGCATGACCTGAACTAGGAAATCCTAAGGCTACCTGTGTGTGTTGGTGTAAGAGTGGGTAAAACCAGTTCCTTGTCTCCCCAGTCACTTGTGATGGCTGGTACCCGAAGTCACCAACCAGCCTCTCTAGGCAGATGTGCCAGATGCTGCTTTTTTCCCCCAAATGAAAGCACACCAGTAGGAGAGCAGCTGGGATCAGCTCTTCAGAGGAGCTGTGCTGATCAAAGGAGGCATGGCTGCATGCTCTGCTGAGAACTGAGCTTGAGCAGCAGCTGAAAGCTGTACACCATGGCCTCTTGTAGATGGTACTCATGTTCCTATGGCTCCAAGTTCCTGCACTGCCTTGGGCCTGCTTCATGCCCTCCAAAATCTGCCCAGGCTCTGACTTTGCTGAAGTGCATTGACTGAAGACAGGAGGACGCTCATCTGCAGGAGCAGAGGTTGACAGCTGTAGTGGTATGGCAGCCCGAAGTGCAGGGGAGTTCACACACTCCCTGGAATACACACTAATCCTTTTTTAGTTTATCCCTGTCTATCTTGTGATTTGTGTAGTCAAATGATTCCTACAAAACCTCTGCCCTCTCCGCAGTGTATGTCCCCTATGCTACATTTGATGTCAGCTGCTCTGAGAAAGTGACTCAAACTTTACATGTTGTTGGAATTACTTTCTGTCTGCTTCTAAAGCTGGCACAGGGTGATTGTCATCGTCCAGTGGCAGGGTGCTGAGGGAGAGAAATTAATTAAATTCAAAGCCACCTTCAAGTAGCTTTAGGAAAAGGAAAGTTATCCTTTAATCTCAGTGTGTGGTTGAGATGCTGCTTTCTTTTCAAATGAAGGTCTCATTTAGTACTGCAGGTTTGTACAGCATTAACCATTAGTCCTGTCACATCTTCAGGGCTGAGTGTGGCTGCTTTATCATGCACCAAGTTCTGCTCTTATCACAGACCAGTTTTTCTATGTGAGGCTGAAGCAATATCCACCAACACCTCTTTTTATCTGGGCTTTGGAGCATAGCCTATAGTTTTCTGTACTGCCTGAGCTCCAGCTTCTAGGCAACACAAGGTGAGCTGAGGACCTGGTTTGAAACTCAAGGCTTTGGTTTCTTTAAAACAGACCAATCTCCCATCTAAACCCTCTGATATTATCTGAATACATTGAGGCATGTCAAAGAAACATGCAGGGACATATTTAGAACAAAAGCTTATTTGTAGGCAGTTGATTTCATATCTGAACACGTGGTCTGGTATAGGATCACAAAATGGTTTGGGTTTGAAGGGACCTTCAAAACTCATCTTGTCCAATCCCCCTGCAATGAGCAGGGGCGTCTTCAACTAGATCAGGCTGGCAGAACCACATCCCGCCTGGCCTTGAATGTCTCCAGGGATGGAGCATCCAGCGCCTCTCTGGGCAACCCGTGCCAGGGTTTTACCACCCTCATTGTACAAAATTTCTTCCTCGCATCCAGCCTGAATCTCCCTGTTTAGTTTAAACTCATCACCCCTCATCCTATCGCAGCAGGCCCTGCTAAAGAGTCTCTCCCCATCTTTCTTATAGGCCCCTTTTAAGAACTGAAAGGCTGCAATAAGGTCTCCCTGGAGCCTTCCCCAGGTTGAACAAGCCCAACTCTCTCAGCCTGTCTCCAGAGCAGAGCTGCTCCAGCCCTCTGATAATTTTGGGGGCTCTCTTCTGGAGCTTCTCCAACAGGTTCATGTCTTTCCTGTACTGAGGACTCCAGGAGGAGCATTTGCCTCTTCCCTGCCCTCTGATGGGCGCAACACATGTGGCTCAGGTTGGTTAAGCCTGCAGACAGCACTTTCACATGGATGCTGCAGTTGAGCTCCTGGTGTTTTCCTCTTTTTGTTCTTGGAACGTCTCTTGCTGTTCAGGATGGTGTCACGTGGTGGGTTTTCTTCTTGAATACATCCTCTGTGGAGTTGCATTTCATGTGGTTGCCAGTATGGATTTGGACCTGGTTGTTGGTGCTTTGTGTGGGGAGTGTGCCCAGCTTCTTGGGGAGCTGTTCCCTCTGGGGCTGTTGGGACCATGTGGGTCAGCAGCAGAAGCAGGCATACCCTGCTTTTCCTTTTCAAGCCACTTATGTCAAGTGGCATTAAACTTTCTCCCGTGTTTCCATCTCAGAGTCCAGGCAGCTACACTGAGGTGATAGCAATGGAAAGCTTGACTCGAACATTACTAGAAGATTACTTGCAGTAGTTCACAGGACACACAAAATCCCAAGCTCCGTGTATCTGGGCATACTCTGTGCTGTGGGTTGATGGACACTGGCTGTGCCCTGCTGTCCCTTCCCCTTGAGGAGGGCTCCAGCTGGTTTTGCTCTGTCTTCCTTGTGCCAGGGTTTATTTTTGATACAGATGCATGGTTTGGGTGGGGGTGGTAGTTGATTTAAGCCTGTTTTTCTCCAGTTCGAGCCATAACAGAACCCTGTTTTTCCCTCTATTTGCAGGCGTCTCAGGATTACAAGCAGCTCGCTTTGAGGAAGCAATGACCGCAAAGCAGTGCGCACTGTCACTGGTGGGAGAGCCCATCATGTACCCGGAGATCAACCGGTTTGTGAGGCTCCTGCACCAGCACAGCATCTCTACCTTCCTGGTTACAAATGCACAGTTCCCAGATGAGATTAGGTAAGAGATGGACAAAATACCTCCCTACTAAAACATTTGAGTGCAGACTTGTGTTTTAATTCCACTTATTGCTCATCAATCAGCTCTGTGCTGACAGTGAAAAAGCCCACTCAGTATCGCATCTATTTGATTTTAACCTTTGTCTCCCCATGCTCTTTCTCATCCCTTTTTCTACCAGTTTGATTTTTCCTTTCTGTATCTCTTAAAGTGGGGTTACCTCTGAAAAGGAAGAGGATATAATATAGTACCTCCTGGACGTACAGCGGAAGAAGAGCGAGTGAGCTGCGTATTGGGCTTGGGGACATGGATGATAACTAGTGCAAGTGTTTCTGAGAGCCAGAGCAGGAGACTCGGCTTGTAAATTGCCTTTTTCATTTGTGAGCTTCTCTTGCAGTCTGATCTTTGTTCTAACTGCAGAAGACAGTTTGGACGGGGCTTGAAGCAACCTGGTCTTTTAGTGGAAAATGTCCCTACCCATGGCAGGGGGTTGGAAGTGGATGAGCTTTAAGGTCCCTTCCAACCCAAACCAGTCTGTGATTCTGTGATTCTATGAGTGCAGCTTCATCTGTCTCCAGGCACACACAGGAGGTTTTATAGCACATGAGCATGTATTGAGCAGTTACTGGCTTGAGTCCTCTTCCTCTGTTTCTGTTCTTTATCTCCTTGACCCAGGCTGTCTCCTGACTGGCTGGGGAATCCCCCTCATGGCTGGAGGCCTGAGAGCAATTTATTGCTCTTGAGTTGTGCTGTGCTACTCAGTCGGAAATCACTACCCGAGTTCAGATGTGGTAATGCAGTGAATTTGATCTCAGCTAGATTGGAAATGACAACCGATAAAGTAGGAGGAACGCTGGAAAATCCATCCTAGTACTATGCAACAGTATTTCCTGCTGAGTATGAAACGTAGCTGTGTTCCAGGAGCATCAGTTTGTGCCCTTTCTCCTCGTTCCCCTATGGCAGAACATGCACAAGGTCAGCGTCACTCCAGTTTGAGCCATAACAGAACCCTGTGGACCGTTCCATTTTGGAGCAACGTGGGGCAGAAATCCCTCCCTGGGATCTCTTCCAATTCCTTAATTTTCTCCAGTACAACAGTGAGTCTGGCTCTTGCCTGTCCTGAGGATCGAGATCCTCGGAGAAGAGGTGACTTTTCTCAGCTCATGTTTTGAAAACACTCGCTCCATCTTCCCTGGAGCCCCTTTTGATTGGGCAAATGCAGCATTAAGGAAAGAAAAGAGTGTTTTGGCCATGTACTTTGAAACTGAATACTTCAATCCGCTCACTCCTAGAACACTTGATCATTTTTGAGGTTGTGGCTTTGGGCTGCAAGGCCAGACAAGCTTCTTTGCAAAACAGTTGGTTTTATTTATTAAAACCTAAAATGTTGCGTTTGTTCTGGGCTATTTCATGCTTCTAAATACAGGCAGAATGTGTTCAGAGAGGTTGTTTGAGTGTCCATGTTAAGTGGCTTTTCCTGGATGCTTGGTCTCATTCTGGACAATTTCTTGTCCCTTTCTCACCTCTGGGGAGGGCAGAGGGTGGTGTATTTTTAGGTGTCACTGTTGGCAGCTGAACAATAGTTTCTAATTTCTTCTTGTCTAAAGAGCTAAATGAAGCTGGGACAGCAGCCTGTTCATTAAGAGACTTCCCAAATAACCCTTGCAAAATGTCCTGAAAGCGTGGAGAGCTGAAGAGATACGTGGTACAATTAGGATGCATCATTCCACGGAAGATGCCATGAAGGGTGGACGTGTGTTACATTCACTGGCTTGATCAGATTTGTCTGTGACAAGGGAGCTTGTTTTAGGTTGTTCCTTTTAATGTCCGTCGTTATCTGTTTGCCAATGGTCTGCAGTGGTGCTGCTTCTCCTTTATACCCTTGGAGTTTACAGAAGGGGTTAGACTCTACCCAGGCTCTTTAAACCTCCTCTGAGAGTGTGATCTTTTTAGAAGGTTCTGCTGTTGGGCTCACAGATGCTGTGCTCACTGGCGTTCTGTGACCAGAAAGACTGGAGTGCGGGATTTATACAAGATAAGAGCCTTGGAAGTGGAAGGAGAACATGCTGGGGAATTGTGTTTGGTTTCATTTTCTAAGCAGCTTTGATTTCCCTTCCAAAAAGTACTTGACTGATGGCAGCTGCAGGCCAGGTGAGTTCAGTGTGTCCGGCAGTAGAAAGCAGCTGAATGATGGCTGCATTTCTCTCGAACGGGATTATGTCTCCATTAGCCAGAGCAAATAGAATGTGGGGAAGGGGCTGAGCTTTATAGTTTGTAACCATGGGGAGAAGCAGAGCCTTTCAGTGCCTTGTAGTAACCCCTGGCAGCCTGCTTTGGGAAGCCTTTCTGCGCGTGCCACAGCTAATGCTGGAGTGATGTATGTTTTAGTTGAGTAAGGAAAAGATAATTGAACCGTCTGCCAAGGCCTCTGTGTGTGATATTCTTAGCTTTGGGGTGTATTTGTTGAAAGTTAAGTTATAATGTCTTGCTATTAAGATGATAGTCACTTGATGGAGATGAACCTCTGGACTTGGATAGTTTTCCTTGTAAACACTGGATAGTTCCTGTCGCTACTGGAGCAGCAGAGCTTGTTTAGAAGTCCTGTATTTTATGTGTGCTTTGGTAGGAAAACACAAATTCAGCTAGCAGTGATGGCTGAAGACAGCAATTGCCTTCTCGTTTTTATTTCCAAGGAACCTTGAGCCAGTGACGCAGCTGTATGTCAGCGTGGATGCCAGCACCAAGGAAAGCCTGAAGAGAATTGATTGGCCCCTCTTCAGGGATTTCTGGCAGAGGTTTCTGGACAGTTTAAAGGCCTTGTCTGAAAAGGTACCCAGTAAAGAGTGTGCTCTGAAATATTCTTTCTTCTTGGCCGTATCCACTCAGTACAAACGGAGAAGACTTGAGAGGCTTAAGATGGACCGTGGAGTGGGTTCTGGGTGTATTCGGAGCATATTTACATGTTTTATACATTGAAGTGTATAAAGTCCAGCACGTTTGATCAGTTTTCCATATGGGGAGAAATGTAATGACAAAAAGAGAGCAGAATATGTGTCAAATGGGACAGTAAACTCTGCTGTGAATATAAGATGCTATGAGAGATGAAGAGATTATAAAAGAATAGAACATTTCCTAATGGAGCATTTACACTGCAAGCAGGCTGCTGAAGGAAAACTGGAAATCCAGGGAAGCTTAGGAAGAGTCATAAATTGCCATGTGACTCTTAGCACTGGTTCTCAAAGGATGCAGTAGATAAAGGGCTTTACAGTATGGAGTTCAGTAGCTCCTGCTACATAGAAATCTGATTTATAATAGTAGATTTGAGTGTAACAGCAAGGATGACCCTTTCCACTGTCAGTGGTTTGTAGTAGTTGGTGTCTGTTGGAGAGAGCTGAGCATGATCTGAGGGCCCACGGGATCACGGCTGCTGCTGTCAGCTCAGAACGTAGTCTACCATTTAACAAGTTTTGTAGTAATTAATGAAGCACTCGTGGTCCCAGCATGACATTATTTGCTAAGTGCTTCCATGTCTGTCTTACTGAGACTGAGCTCTGATGGAAGCAAGTACTTCTGTTTACTGATTTGGCAGAAGGTGACGTGTTACCTGCTGAGATGAGCAGCCAAGAGAGACTGTTTCATTTGAATACTGAGATTTTCTGCCTTCTGAGATGACAGTGGTGGACCATTTTCTGCCAAATCCGTGTTAGTAGACCTGGGAGGCTCGGTGTAATTGTGGGACACTTTCTCCTACAAATGCTGTGAGTAGCTTCATCAAGCTGCCTTCGTGCAAGTGCTGGCCGATCTTGTTAAGCAGCATCTCAGGACAAACTGTGAGCTTACTGAAATCAGGTACAGGCTTTCTAAGTTCTCTGTGCTGTTGCCCCAGAGCTGGATGCAGGACTGTGGTGGGGGGGTGGGGGGATGTCTCCTCAGAGTGCTTCAGAGAGGGAGAAATCCCCTGTTTATTTACAAGACCTATTTTCTTCTTTTATTTCCCCTCTCTCATTTTCTTTTTGCACCCGATGGGCACTTGCGGTGCCGCCAGGCCCAGCCATGGCCGCTTTTCCTGGCTGCAGGATGAGCTTCTTGGCATAAAATAGATATGGTTCCACACTCTTAACTTTCACCCATTCAGAGAGTCATTATCACATTAATTTTTCTGCTAATGTTATTCTGATGGGTTTCTGAAGGGAAATAGTGGTTACTTTTCTGGAATCCTGGGGTAAAGCACTGAAGCCTGGTTTTCTATCCTGATGCTTTAAATCATTAAAATCTCAGGTCTTAAGCTCTTACTTCTTGTTCTTCAGTGCTTACAAGAGGATTCCTGGGGCCCTATTGTACAACCAATTACAAATAATACATGAATGAAATGGGATTGTGCATTTGTACTGCCAGCAGACTGTAAGGATTATTTATATCTAAGACTTTGTGGTATTAGGTCCTTACTGCTTTTGATGTGTCCCTTCTACCAGCTTTTCTCTCTTCCCAGACAACACTTGAGAGATGTTGCTCTCTGGAAAGATGTTTCTTCAGTCACAATATGAATTTCTGATTTTTCTAGCTGTTTTTCTGCATCCCTTTGGCAGTGTTTTACTTTCTCTACCCACTTCTTTCACCACCGGTTATGATCGCTTAATACAGCTTTTATGCTAATTCAGTTACTGAAGTGATGGATACACACAGGCGGCTGATACTGCTTGTCAGTGCTAGCCTAGGAGGGGAAAAAGCTGTTAATGCATTTGTAGCAGTTTTAGTTTTATGGAAACTGCTTGAACTTTAAAGTTAGTCTTCTAAAATGATCTAGGGTGTATATTGGAGGGTTTAAAAAATGAGATTTAAATGGGAGAAGACAACCAACTCTCTTTGGCTGTAGGAGGAAACACTTGCTGAAGTGCTGTGGGTAGTTTACACTGGAAAACGTGATACAAGTAGACTGAGACTGTTTGATCCTCTCCACAAAACTGTTCCTGCAGTACCACATTCACTCGGCGCTGGCACCGTTCCTCCTGTGTTCAGGCTGTTGGCCTGAGCCTTGAACCATTGTTTGGTGGCACTTCGATTTAGTCCCTCTGCAGTATGTGTGTAACATCGTAGAATCACGGAATGGATTGGGTTGGAAGGGACCTTAAAGCTCATCCAGTTCCAACGCCTGCCACGGGCAGGGACACCTTCCTCTAGAGCAGCTTGCTCCAAGCCCCTGTGTCCAACCTGGCCTTGAACACTGCCAGGGATGGGGCAGCCATGGCTTCTCTGGGCACCCTGTGCCAGCGCCTCAGCACCCTCACAGGGAAGAGCTTCTGCCTAAGAGCTCATCTCGGTCTCCCCTCTGGCAGGTTAAAGCCATTCCCCTTGGCCTGTCCCTACAGACCCTTGTCCCAAGCCCCTCTCCAGCTTTCCTGCAGCCCCTGTAGGCACCGGAGATGCTCTCAGGTCTCCCCTTGAGGAGCCTTCTCTTCTCCAGGCTGACCCAGCCCAGCTCTCTCAGCCTGGCTCCAGAGCAGAGCTGCTCCAGCCCTTGCAGCATCTCCGTGGCCTCCTCTGGCCTCGCTCCAACAGCTCCATGTCCCTCCCGTGCTGCTGCCCCAGAGCTGGATCAGGACTGCAGGGGGGGCTCCTCAGAGTGCAGCAGAGCGGGAGAATCCCCTCCCTGAGCTGCTGCTCAAGCTCTGGGGGTGCAGCCCAGCACACGGGGGGGTTCTGGGCTCAAGTGCATATGGCAAGGACATGGGGAGCTTCTCATCGATGTGACCGTTGGCGTACGTGTGCTCGTGTGCTCTGCCTGTGCATCCATGTGTGAAGACACACAAGGCATGGCAAGCACATGTGGAACGAGAGTTGCATGCACACGCACGCACAAAGAGTACCAGAAGCGTGAAGGGGACATGACAAGCGGGACATGAGTGCCTTTTCATGCACGTTTATGCCATTTCATGTACCTGGTGGACCAGGCTGTGCTGACATGTTCCCCCATGCCTCAGCTGCACACACAGGATCTGGCACTGTTTGAGGAGCTGAAGGTGGCTGTGGAGGGACTTTACATGCTGACCGTCCGGGACCCCGCTCTAGGAACCATCGCCTGTCACCTGGGAGTCCCTCCTGAGCCCTTGGCCCGCAAGTACTTCTACCTCAACGGTGCGCCCAGACACCTGAGTGCCCTGGGGACAGTGAGTGGTGTGGGGTGGAGTGGGGCCCTGGAGAGCCGAATCCCATGGGGGGGAGTGCGTGGGGAGCATGAGCAGGGTGGATCCATGGTGGAGTGGGTGTTCCCTGATGCCTGGCTCCTCTGGGGGCAGTGGGACACGTGGGGTGGAGCGGACACCCCTGATGCCTGGGTCTGTGGGGGCAGTGAGGTCTGTGGCTGCGGGGACACGTGGGCCCTGGGGGGCAGTGCCCCATGACCCAAGGTACGTGGGTCCCTGCAGTATCAGGGGGAAGCGTGGAGGCAGAGCAGGGACTCCAGGCTCAGTTCAGAGCTGTGCTGCACTGGCCCCACGGCAGGACCTCTGGGAACCACATTATTTGCTGCTTTATATAATGGGATTCTATGAAGAGGTGCATTAGCCCAACACAAATTACTGGGCTGGGGAAAAAACCTCCTGTTGGTGTTGAATGAATCAACTCCTTCATGTAATGGCTTCAGCTGCCCTGAAAAGTGGATGAAATGATGGCTGTTCTGCTCCCTATTGCAAGGGAGTTTATTGCTGTGAATGCGAGGGGTGTTTCCCGCTGGCTTCGTCGGCAGAAGCGATGGAGAAGCCTTCATCCCTGTGCGGAGTGAGGAGGAGCCGGCCATGGAGAGAAACCACCCTCAAACACAAAACCCCAATAGCAAATCCCAAATCCCGGCCATCTCCTGTCCAGGCATGGGATCCCCAGTTAATGCCTCCTTCTGCCCTCAGCTCCTGCCTTTGTCAATACAAAAGAAAGGCATAAAATGGACAAAAATGGTGCTGATCATGGGGAGAGGATTGGTCCAAAACACGGGGACATGAGACCATCTCTTCCCCATGCTCACTGCTGGGGTAGGTAACAGCAGCCGCTCCATTCGGCTGATGAACAGGAGCCCTTCTCCTCTAGACATGTGATGGATGGTCCCAATTATATTCTTCCAGCACTGATTTAATGCAATGTTTTATTAATAGCAACAATCAGAGGAAAGCAAACAGCTTATTCTGCACACGCCATTCCCTTTCTGCTTTTATGTTCCCATGTTCACCTACACTCCAAGTCGGTTCAGGAGGAAGAGGAGGGTGGGGAGAAACAAGCAGAGAATTCACGGAGCAAGGCAATAGCTCATTAGGATATCCTCAGCAGAATTAATACGATTGTGGCAATACTTTCTTCACTCATTCCTGATGGATCACTTACAGGAAACTGCAAATTGCTGGTTTGTTTCTTTGGGTGTTAAAAGAGCATGTGCAAGGATGGGGAAAAATAATCCACAGTTTTGCATTAGTGGTTTTAATACTCTTGTTACAGGAGTGATGGGAGGAACATCATAAATCCATCAGAGGTGTCCCCAGCGCAGCACTGGTAGGACTCGGTCCTGGCTGCGCTCTTTGCTGAGGGCCAATTTCCTTCCCCAGCCTGCCAAGCCGTGTTGCCAGGGAAGATGCTCCTAGCTGGAACTGCAGCTCCCACCTTGGCAAGGGAGGTGAAGAGGGAATCCCTGGGAGCTGGGGTGTTGGTGGGATCAGCAGCTCCGAGATGTGTGGGATGGACCCTGCAGCGCTAATGGGGAAGCAGCATGCTTCAAAGAAGCACAACACAGACCAAAGCATCCTCATGTCAAAGCTTGCCACGTGCCAAGACTAAAGCCAATCTCCTCCTTCTTTCGCTCCTTGAACCCTCCCTTCATCAGCAGCTCTCCATCATCTCTCTCCCTGTTTGCTTTTGTATTTGGGAGCCTGTTTGTGTATTTACTCATTCGATTGCTTTCACAGTGATACAAAGTCCCCGTGGCTGGTGGTGATAAACCCAGCAGCCACGTGCTCTCTTTACTTTGTTATTCCAATTGTCGCTCCTGGCTCCAACATGGAATTTAAAGTTCTTTTCAATCAAAAGCGCTCTATATTGTGGTTAAATGATTTCCTTTCCCCCCGGAGAATCATTAATCAGGCACATGAGCTAATATCTCTTGCTCCTTCTCAACCTCTTTTGGTAAGTTCTTCAAAGAAGGCAAGGGGGGGGGGGGGGGAGGGGGGAAGGAAAAAGGGAGAGAAAGATTAAATGGAGCAGGTGTCACGTTTATCTTA